TCCTCCCTTGCTGCTCTGTGCTACTGCTCGTGCTGTCTGTTGTAATCTACCATATGGCTGTGCTTAATCATTACCTTGGTTGGGCGACCTTGAGTATCACTTGGGATTCCTTAGAAGAAAAGGCTTTGTAGAAATGTGAATGCAGAGCCCCTTTAGCAGTAAGTCTGTGTTCAACATAGCATGCACAGGGCCTCACCACATGCTGCAGTTCAGAGCTGTGTGCTTCTCTTCACTAGTTTTCAAAAACCAGGAAATGCAGAATATTTTTTTAATTTGTTGTCGTAAACGTGTTCTGGTATGTGACATAGTCTCTAAAATGAGCTTTTTTTTTTCTCTTGAGACGCTGAGAGGCGGAGGCTGCAGTCTAGGTTCTGTAGTAGTTCTAACCACACTGTTAAAACACGAAGTGTGGTTTAGAAATGGAAAGGTTTTCAGGTATGTATGTGTAAGGGCAGGCATGCTGTTGCAGATTTAGATGATGAGGTGCAAAAAACACCTTAGCTCAACATAAATATTTGTTCTTGCTGCTGCTTACTACTAATGCACCTCTGTACTACAACTAGAGTTTTAAGTGTCCTGAAAGTGCCCTGAAAGTCTGCATATGGGTGCAGCCTCTGTATATCGGGCATATACTGCTCACGAGCCATGAGTAAGCAGGAGTAAGCTCTGGTCTTGGAATATGCCTGTGGGTTCCCTGTTAAGGCAGTTCTATGGTAAGACAAACAAAAAATAATCATGACTTGCTGTATTTCACTAACAGTGTAATTCTGTTGATAGTAGCTGTATTGCAATGTTATTTGTCTCTTAGTACGCCGCTGTCCCCCCGCCCCTCCATCAAATTCTTCCCTACCCTCCCTTCCTTTTAAACTGCTGGCAGCAGTCCTCTATACCAGCTCTCAGATTCTCTGAAGTGTTTTACTCATTCTTGGAACAGTTTGTTAGAAATATAAAAACCTTGTTTGAACTTTATTTCAGAATTTTTCATACTTGTGAAATAAATGATAACCATTTTCAGGTGGGAAAGTCAGACAAGCATGCAAAGCCCATCAAATGTTGCATAGGTACTGACACGAGTTGAGAGAACTGGATAGAAGGGTACCAGTATGGAACTTATTTTCTAGCCAGCAGAGAGATCTCTCCTTTATATGACCTGATTTATTCCTAATTTGAAAATTAATTTAAAGAGTAAGTAGAAGGATAAAGGAAACAGAAGGTTGTTGGTTTGTGATTGAAAGACTTAACACTCCAATCTGTCTTTGAGTAACTTTGAATTTTGTATTTCTCTGGTCATTCTAGACCTTTGGCTGAGCTCCATGTACAACAGCCTTGGATTGGCTCTTGGGACATCTGTTAATCTATATATAGGATTCACACACTTGCACACGTAAACAGGTGATCTCCTAAATATATGAAATGGTGTTGGGAACTCCAAGTACTTATTTAAGCCAAAATGAATTCAGGAGTGAACTGAAGTAATCCTTTTTGCCCTCCTCCCAGCCACAAAAATAAACTGTATTGGAAAAAAAAGTGCATTATGTGCTGATTATGACTTGTGCTTAATATGTATTTATATACATTCATGAATCCCAGGAATTACTTCGTGCCTATTAAAAGTATCCTGAAAATGACCTTTTTCCTATTCTCCAGTCTAGTCCTCTTGACAGTTGCTGGTTTCTTTGTTGTGAAGGGACGTAGTGTTTAAAAATAAAAGGTGCATATAATGGGTAGAGAACAAGGGTAGTAGATGGTAACTGATATAGAAATAAGATGTATTTTGAAGATTGATAAGGGAAGCTGAAGTCAGGAAGGGAATTTTAAGTCATTTGATGGAGTCTGTAGCTGTCTCAGGGAGACTTCAGAAGAGCAAAAGGCCAATAATATTTTGCATCACTACTGAAAAAGGGTGAGTAAAGAGTGGCTAAAATGGTATCAGTTTCCAGGAAGAAACTATGGAAAAATTTGATAAAGAATTTAGATGGTATAAGAATAGCAATATAATCACACTATTCAGCTTTTCAGTTTGTGAAAACAGGTCTGTTCAAATGCTATTTTGTTGTTTGGATACGTGAAATTTGGTTGCTAGGGGTTTTGTCTGAGTGTAATAGACTTTTATAAGGTCTTAAACTTATTAGTATGGTATATTTTGGTTTTAAAAAGTATCTTTGAATTTAATGAAGTAGTGCTTAAGTGGATTAAGAACTGACTGTAGTCAAAGAAAGCAGAAAAGCATTTCTAGTTGGGATCAGCCTGGTGTTGTCTGGAAACAGATGCAAGATGGTAATGGTTTAGATCTTTTGGGCAAACTGAGACAGTTGGTAAAGATGTGCATAAATACAGATGAGGGCTGAGTTATGCACCAAGGAGCAAAAATGCTAGCCACACCCTGTGTGGGAGAGTTTTTTGATGAAAATGCCTGACTCTGGGAGGTGAAAGGTAAATAGTAGGTGTACTTGGTAATGGGAGGGAAAGTAGATGGTCTTAGCAAGTAAATAGCAAAGTGTCAAAAAGAGCTAATGTACATTGCTAGCTCTGTAAGTGAGAAGACATGAGTATTAATGAGATTGGCTGCACTTAAAGCTGTGGAGATAGACCTGATGGTATAGGTCTGTGCCTTGCCTCTGTACTTTTAGTGACATGTGCTAATTTAAGGTATGGAAATGAGTCCCTGAAATGGCTCACTAGTGGAAATAATGCCACATAGTGAGAGATTTAATGTGCTGTTACCTAATAGGGCTGAAATCACTTAGTGGCATACTGCTGCTGGAAGCATGAAGTCTCACTCCCACCTTATGTTAGTGTTAGCAAATACCTGGCTATACTGTTGCTTCCTCAACTCACTAATGAGAAAACTGTTCCTGTTTCAGTTGGGCTGTGGACTCTGTCATATCAGTGAGTCCCGCCACCAGTCAGGAGAGCATGAGAGATGATGTGAAGAGTGAAAGATTGTACTCCATTGCAGCAAGCTGTTAGATCAAGTGCTTATGTAGATGTGTCATCACTTGACTCGGGTTTTGATCACCTCAAAACAAATCCAGCAAATTAAAAGCTTTGTGAACAGGCCAGCCATGAGACTGTGTTAGCCTTTGCGCTTGCACAGAGTAGGAGTGTGATTGCATGCTGGGTGGGAGGAAGAGTCTGGGACTGCCACTTCTGTTTCCAGTTTCATGGCCAAATGAAGGGCCTGTTCCTTCCCCTCTGTATTCCCTCCTCCTCATGCTGGCTCTTGGATGATCCCCCACAGAATTAGCATGGTGCTCTGTATGCCCTCCCTTCCTCTCTCTCTTCCCTGTACTAAAGGAAGTAGTTTCCTGTCCAGGGTGCATATATTAAGAAATCTTAGTTTGGTTTAAGAAAGAGAAGAGAGGTAACTTAGTTGCACACTGTGTACAGAAGTACCTCCACAGGTAGGAAATATATTCTCACTGTCATAAACCTGTTAAAGAAAGGTACATCAAGAGCCAAGGGAGTGGAAGCTAGACAAATCCAAGTGAAAATTTAAGTGTGCATTTAAGTGAGGTTGATGAGCCACTGTGCAAACAACTCAGGAAGAGATGGATCTCTTGTTGAAGAGGTGAATCTCTTGTTCACTTCATATGAAGACAAGAACCCTTATTAGAAAATGGATCTCAGTCAAATGCAAACTGTAAATAGGAGGTTGAAAGAAAGAGGTGAAATGTGATAATGTGTGTAAGTAGGTAAAGTGGTATCTATCTTCTTAAATTTTTTGACCCCTACTTTAGGGAGTGCACAGTATAAATTTGGATATAATGCGTGAAATGAAAGTATTGGACAAGAAAATTCATGAGAACGGAAATAAAGGGTTATATGTTTAGTAGGACTGTAGAGTAGTCTGGTTGTCTGGTGATTCTGCTACGCTTGTGTGGACTTCTCTTATGTGGACTATACAATGGACATAAGCTTGACAGAGAAATTGAAATGAAATCAGGGAAGATGCCATGCCATTCATTCAATTATATTTTATGTTGAGTATACTTAGGAGCTTGGGTTTGATTGCAAACAGGATTCAGTATCTATTGATGTTTGCTGGGGTTGTCCTAAATTGAAGTGTGTGTGCGCACGCGTGCATGCATGCACATTTGTGTATGCGCACACATATGTGATTTATCTTCATTGGTTTTGTAATGTCCCTTTCATATGGAAGCTATCTTTTACTGTTTGTAAAAACCATCTCTAGAATGTTGCTTTAAATGTGTAGTTTAAAGGGAAACCGCTGTTACAATATAAATGCTGAAATTATTACTATTCCAGAGATTTACATTAAAAAAAATTGCATTTCATACAGGTAATGCATATGTTCTATTACTCTAAAATAAACAGAAAAAATTCTAGTGATAAGGGATTCCTTTAGCTATGGAGCAAGGACACTTCTAGATATAGCCATGATCTTTCACTTTCATGAGATGTTTCTGAAGGTGAATTTCTGATTTGAGCAAGGAAATCAGCCTTGTAATTTAGAGTAATGACCAATAATTTTGTCATATCAATTTAATCTACACATGGTAATTAGAGTTTTCAGGAGTCATTAGCAGCTGGGATGTCACTCTGTGTTTATTGAAGGACTGTCAACCACTGTTTCTCTTTGTTTGTTTTTGAATATTAATGGTTTGGAAAGAAGTTGGTGCTCTAGAAAGAATTGAGAAACAAGGCTGGCTTTGCGGATTTTTATCACCCTGCCAAGACCCTGCGCAACTTCCTCTCCGTGTTGCCCACAGCAGAATACGGAAACCTGACTGCTGAAGGCCACTTCTGCAATTGCAGTGGTGCAGGGGAGCAGGGTGGGAGGGAGGGAGGTCTTTTGTTCTGCTGTTCGCTAGCGCCTTGGCATCCAAAGAAGAAAGCAAGATGCATTTGAAAATGTCTCTTCTGTTGTTTCTCACACTGATGGGTTTCCTTCTCTTCCCTCTCTTTGCTGTCGTGCAGTGCTGCAGTTGAAGCTCCAGCAGCGACGCACACGGGAGGAGCTGGTGAGCCAAGGGATCATGCCGCGTAAGTATCACTTAAAATTTTTGTCTTGGTGTTTTTATGCATATTTTTGAGTGGAGAATGGTTTCACATATGATCAGATTCTCTGTTTCTGGATGAAAAACATCATCTAAAGAGCCCCACCCTGTCCCACCCAACATGGTCCTTCTGAAATCTTGGTACGCTGAGGTATGGGGCCACCTCTAAAATGGAGGAAGAGAGTAACGGCTCCATGCATAACTGTAGTCCAAAACAAAGTTTATATTTTATCAAGTGGAGTCTTCTGGAGAACATGCTATGCTAGAAGTGCTTTATATACTTCACACATGCTGGTAATCACTCTACTAACAGGCTTCCTGCCTCTGCAGTTTCTGTTCTTGTTTGTCAGCTCCCCAGACCTCTGAGGCAGTTGTAACTTTGTATGTACATATTCTATAAACAGAGTGAAAACAAGCAGTGCGTACAAGATGTTAACCAGCACGGGGCCATGTTTTATGTTTGTAGCTAGAAAACATAGCTAGAAAGAGCCCTGTGGGCATCAGCCAGTCAGTAGTCCCCTTCCTGCAGTGAAGGGGAAAATCTGCAGAGCCAGAGGACTTTTATTTGTCTGGGTGGACACACAGGGTATACCCTAATGCCAATTTAATAATTTCACTATCAGGTTAGTGTTGGAGAAGGTGTTTTTTGGTTTTGTTACCCCTCTTCCCCTCAAAATGCAGAAAGATATCTGACAAATAGTTTTGTCATGCTTTGGTACCTCTGAACTAGATGACTTATAGGTAACAGCTTGAAGCAAGACCAAAGAGCAAGTGTTTTATTTTTGAGGCCATCTCAGTTTCACTTAACAGCTTTAGTAAAAGGCAGTGGATCAGGTCTATGTTTTCTTCTTTCAAAAACTTTTCCCCCTCCTCCATTTCACAAACCTTATTTGAAGACAGTGTAGTAATGAGGAGTTTCTCGTTCCTTCTATTTCTGGGGTGCACACTGTAATATGACACAGGGATGCGACTTAGACTTTGCTAAAGGCGTAAGGTTAGGCTGTCAGCTCTCTCTCTGACTGAAGAGAACCTGTCAGCAGCACTCTGTCAGCTGAAGTGGCTCTCTGGAAGGTAGTGACATGTTCAAGATGTTTCTGGGACCCCTACTTAAAATTCTATTACCAAATCAAAAAGGGAAGATTTTCCTATCTTCTTATTTTTACTTGGAGAACTCGTGTACGTGCTTCTACAAAATATACTTACTTGCTTTTTGATGAAAGACTAGTATCCCAGTGACTGTGCCCTTTTATTAATACTTCCCAAAAGAAAATGTCCTGACTTCTTTGTGGTCTCCTGCTTTAGGTGGATATGTATGCAAATACTGTATTAAATTTTGTTCAGTACTGGCTTTCCTCAAAGTGTGGCTGGCCAAACTTGTGATTCCTGGGAAGAATCTGTTTTACAGTCTCTTTGAAAATGAGGCCCTTGCAAGTAATTTAAGTAAGGTACTCAGAGTAATTAGTCAGTTTTAAATTTGCTTAAAATGCAGCCTAAATAACTAGACTTTGCAAACTTGTGCCCTTCATTGCTTCATTTATGTCTCTTACATGTGAGTTTTGTGACAGACCAAAGAAGAATGCTCAGTGAAATACCATTGTGAAAATATTGGCAACACATGAAAAGGTCCTTTCTGGAATGGAGAAAAAACACTTTAGTAGATGTGTGCTAAACATGATTTGAAATTTGTTCCCTCCAAGTCATGGTACCATTTACTGTGGTGGTTTAACCTACAGTAGGACCATGAGGTCCTGCAGTCACCCCGCCCCCCGGTGAGATGGGAAGGGAGTCACAGCAAAGGGAGCACAGGATTAGGAATGAAGGACAGGGACGGCTCCCTCACCAGTTATGGTCATGGGCAAAACAGACTCAATTGGGGAAGAAAAATCAATGTAATTTGTTGCTGTTCATCTGAGTAGATGTAACAACCACATCTTACAACGCCTTCCCCCACCCCTCCCTTCTTCCTGGGTTCAAATCACTTGGTTCCCAATTTCTCTACTTTCCCCCTACCCAACGGGACAGGGAATGGGGGTTCAGTCAGTACACCATTGCCACTCTTCCTGGCATGGAAGTCCAGTAATAAGACATTCCAACATGAGCTTCCCATGGAGTCACGGACCTCTTTGGGCTCAGCTCCCGGCTCCGGCATGGGAACATCCACGGGCTGCAGACAAGCCTCTGGTCCAGTGCCCTTCCTCACCCCCTGGCTCTGGCATTGAGTGACTCTTGTGGTCTCAGTTCAGTCACACTTGCCCTCAGGCTCAGCTTCTTTGCACCAGCATGGATTCCTCCATGGCCTACATGTGGGTATCTGCTCCACCATTGAACTTCCATGGGCTGCCGGGGCCTCCTTTGCTTTCTCCTAATCCATGAGTGCTGAACTGGGTGTCTGAGGTTCTCTGTCCTCCTTCCTCCTGGCAACAAAGCTCTCTCTCCTTTGTTTTGGCCGATGGTCACCTTTTGTTTAGGTGGCCTCTTCTCCAGCTTCACTCCACCTTCTTCTTTTCAAGACAGTCCTGCCCCTCACAGATATGGATTCGCAGAGGTGTTTCTGTATTGCTGACTGGTTCAGCCTGGGCTGGGGGGGTACACCTTGGAGCCACGGGAGCTTTCCGCTCTCAGCACAAGGTAGCCCATTTCCCCACTACCAAAAATGACACCCCCACTCCCCAAACGCAACACACTTGCCCATACGTGCCAACTGGAAATAACCATACATAGAGAAATGTTTAAAACATTATTTGCATGGGCCATTTTTAATGAGAAGATCAGAGGTGAGATAAATTGTGATACTTAAAGCAAAAGTCCCATTTTTAACTGAGAAGTACAGAGGGGCTGTGTTCCTCTTAAAGGCGTCTCAGAGCCATGACAGCTTTGCTTCTACTTTCAGCAGTTCAGAACAGACATTTTTACTTACTACTGGGAATGTGCAGATATCCTCTATTCTTTCATCTCTCTGCCCTGTAGCTCCTGTCTGTGACAACATTTAGGTACTTAATCTTGTTCCTCTGTCATCTACTACTAAACATGGCTGTACTGGGCCCTGTGTTTCCCTCTTGAGTTTGTTAGTCAGGAACCAAGCCCCACACAACCCTTTATGATGTTTAACAAAAATGTAGAAGTGGGAATCCGGAGGATGGTTTGATGCTGCATTAAATGAGCTGGAGCGCTCTTTCCTGTGTGAAATGCTGGTTGGCTTCTAGACTTTATTTCCCACCTGGAGAGCCTTCACTCTCTTGAAAGAATTGTGGTAGTTGTGGTTGTATCTACATTAGCATTATAGCTTGCATCAGGAAGGTGCTTTTGAAGTGAAGCTCTTGATTGCACCTTCCTACTGTACCTTGCTTTGAACCATGAAATGAAGTTTGAGAGTTGGATTAAGCTGAGATGAAAGTAAACTGGAAAATATTCTACCTACAGCTAATATGCATTCAGTCCATGGAGGCAGACTGCAGCTTGTCTGGCACCACACCTCCCATTTCACTTTCATGTATACAAGTGTGGATGTCAGTTCCTCAGCATCAGCTGTTACTCTGTGCAGATTTGGGTTTACTGTGCTATCCTGCATGTTCATTAGATTAGCCTTTAATACAGTTCCTGGATCTTGTAGCCAAACTGGCGTGCAGAAATCCATGAGTATGGGAGAAGTAAAAGTTTTTGGTTTACATTAAAAGCTTTCTAGTGTGCAAACTCACTTTGGTACCTTTGGTTCTCCTGACTGTAATGTAAGTCTTACGTGGTGTTTAGATTCAGCTTGGTGCCCTAAACGAGAAATTATATTTCAGGCTTCCATCAACACAAGGTTTTTGGACACTGTAAACCTGAGGAGTGGGAGAAGACACATTGATGTCCCAATAAAGTGAGAGTGAGAGTCACACCACTCCTGCTTTGCTTGTTCAGAACAGAGCTGGGAGTTGCTTACTTTGTCCCCATGTGGAATTTTGTTTATGTGGTAGAGAGGAAAGGCAAATGTTTCAACATTTTTTTACCAAGTACACTTAATCTCGCTTGAATAACCTTTCCAACCCACCAGCCACCTACAGTAGGGCTATGCTTCACTAAAAGATTAGCATATTGTAATAAGAAATAAAGCTTTTATAAGCAGTGTCAGAGGATTAAAAATAACTAGGTTTCATGCTTCATTAATTCCTCTTGCTTTTCTGTTATCACTTGGTGTAACCTTTTACTGGTAGCAGGGTTCATTATTTGAAGATTAAAATTCTTGATTGCTCATAGAAAAGATGTGGGAAGCAAGTCTTCACCTGGATCTGACATACCTGTGATTTGAGCTAGAAGGACTGTATCTAGGAACAAGGAGAGCCGAGTTTTCATATTTATTCAGGTTTTGTTCTATTTTCTGATAGTGCAAATAGAAAAGCTTTTTTGCTATCTGCATTTTTTTGTAGCTACGCAGAAGAGATTCTCATCTTCTTGTCCTCATAAAATGCAAGCTAAACAAAAACTGCTCTCTGTGCTCAACTCTTTGAACTCTGTCGTGCTGTAGAACAGTCAGATGCTGTCAGTTTTTACAGTGTTGAATTTGAAGGTTACAGCTATTGTAAGGTTTTTGGGGGGAGTATTAAACACACAGTTTTCTACCCTTGAAAAGAATGTTTAAAACAGTAGCTAATGTGCATCTGAGTAGAAAGACATGAAGTATATTCAACTAAACCAGCAAATTTTTTAAGGGAAAGGCATTGGCAAAAATAGCAGTACTCTGCTTTACAGAATATGTTGTGCTTTTTCTGTTTTGCAAGGTTTAAAGCTTCACATGCCCATTGTTTTATCCATCGAGATCTTTGGCTTCTGGTTGCAAATACAAAATGTAGGCAAGCATGCAAGGTTGTCATGGCAGAATCCTGCGGGAAAGTTGTTGTGACCGTCAGATTCACCTAAGCGGGCAAAACAGAAGTAGAAGATAATTTCTGGGAATGTGCCTTGTGTTGCTCTATAGCACTGCTTTGTGAATATCTGAAAGATGACATA